CTAGCTTTTTAACAAAGGGAGTAGGGTACAAAGACCTTAAATCATGGAGTATTTGAAGAGAGAGTGGGTGTTTTAGAGACAGAGGCTGCCGATCTAGTGTTTTGATTGCGTTTTTGAAATTAATGTTTTAATTGTTTTGTAGCGTGGTAGCAGGGTGGTGATCAAACTTGTGGGGTTAACTTGAGAAAAATACATGTTCTGTTTGGGTGAGAGATTTGAGAATGAATTTGAAAAAAGAAAGAGAAAATGTATGTGAAATTATGTAAAATGTAAGTATATTTTATCCACATTTCACCAATCTTTTTCATTTCTCTCTCCAAATCTCTTTACAAATCCCACAACGAAACACAGCATTACTCCTACAAGTTTGACATTATTAAACTAATTTGTAGTATAACTAAAGCAACTAAAATTATACAGATACTAGATAGCCCCGAAATGAAAAAAGATATATATTTTAATAGATAAAAAAAATAAAAATAAAAAAAGAAGAAGAAGAAGAAGAGAGATAGCATCATCTTTTCATCCATACAATTCACGAATTACTTTTGAAAAAATATTTAAATGTTCTGTGAATTAAAACCTTAAGAGAGACTAGTGTAATTATGTCAAAGTACGGGGCTAATTATATTTTTTCTAAACTTCAAGAGGTGAGTGTAATTTATCCAAATTAAAAATTAGACTTGGCATACTTTCATCTAAATTTATCTGCAAAATGCCATCGGGTATACTTGAGATTGAGTCCACAACATGAATCCAGAATGTGAATATTCAATGATTAAATCTTATTGTGTCAAGTATTAATTTAAATTTAAAAATTCATAAACCTTGGTTTATTAGGATGTAAACAATTGGGTATGCCGGTTTGATCAAGCAGAAACATAAGGTTCAGGTTTGTATAAGGTTTTTTTTTTTGTGTGTGTGCATGTCCGTGTGTGTGTGTGGATAAACCAAGGTTTAATCACACAGAGTTGTCACCTGCTGAGCAAATATCAGACTAATCAATTCAAGCCTGATAAAATCAGTTATTAGCTTTTGCCTGTAAAGACTGTACTTTGTGAAGTCTTCTGCAAAACTAATGAAAGAAAATACTTGAGGATGAATCTTATATATGCATTTGGAATGTTATCTTCTTTCACTCAATTGAACATCATCTACTATGGAACCTATTTAGAGTATAAGACAGGATCGTCATTGCATGTGGCAGCCTTTTTAAAGTACATTTAAACAAGAAAAGATGAATGCTAAGATAAAACACAAAGAAAAATTGAAAAATAGCATGCAATTAATTGTTGTAGGTAGCCAAAGCAATACTTGGGTGGCATAGTTGTTGAGTCATCCAACAATATCTTCACGATTAATCAGATCTCAAGAACCTGAGAAGAGAAAAAATAATTTAATCTCTAAACAATTTGTTGGGATATAACAAACAAGGAAAAAAAAGACATAAGTAACAAGCTGCATTGGCCTGAAAATTTGATTTTTGGTTCCATATTGAATAATATCTTGTGCAAACTTCACTTTTAACTCCTTATGGTTTGCTCGATGTGCGAATAACTACTTATCATTTAGAAAAAAACCAAATAACATTTGTGGACCAAAGTGCATTGTCTATTTTTTCATCCAAATTAACTGGATGTAAGGTTCACAAAACCATAAAGAGAATAAGCTATTTTTTAAGACCAAAATACCCCTTACACATTTTTAAATTTACAAAAAACATGTCATTCTTCTTTCTCTTTCTCTCTCAACTATTTTCTCGTTCTATTTCTTAACTCCAACCCACTGTATCAGCTGGGTACAAAATCGAGAGAGGCCCTAACCCTTCTTCCCTCTTGGGAGCCAGCAAATTTCAGTTGAGCACAAAATCAAGAGAGGCCTGCCAATATCTCTTCCTGAGGCCGGTACAACCTTTCATGGCTACATCTCTGTGTACATGACTATGGGCAAACTTGGACACATCAATACAGTGAATAGACCATGGGCACACTTGGGCACACTTGGACACACCAATACCCACCATGCCTCAGACGTAAGTAAAGCCAAACTAGTACACTCACAATCAAAACTCAATCCAATCAACCAAACTTTTCAAACAACTAATGAGCACCAAGAATTCAAAACCCAAGAAGATCAATTAATAGATTCCAACTGAGCATCAAATTTTAATTCATTGACACAATTAAATTACCAAACAAAACAAACTCAGTTCATATTTTATTAATAAAAAAATACTTCTGTTTTTGGTCTATTCCTGTGAATGGGTGTACCTCATAATGCAATCCTCCCAATTATGGCAGCAAAATGTCAATAGACTTAAAATAGCCTCTCTCTTTTCTTTTCTTTTCTTTTTTTTCTCACTGAAAACTAGTGCAGTGTAAACAATGCTACTCACCAAGAGTACTCACAAAACTCTGGCCTTCCCACTCCACATAGACAGTTATGAAACTAAGGGTCTCTGAGGTATCAAAGAGTACTTAATTTGAGTTTTGCTACCTGTCCAATTCATAGTCTAGTGAAGCCTGTTTGACGACTACTCCAATCCTCAAGTGGTTTAGTATCAACAGTGATTCAAAAACGGAGCTACATGTGATGTTGATCAGCTAAACTCTTGTGCCTTTAACCTCATCAAGGCATCGTATCCAGTAAATGCATTCACTAGAAATCACTCTACCCAAAACTCCATCAGTTGATTTATTCTTAACCCCAGCCATGGTTACAGCTTAAAAAACTCAAAAGTTACATTTCCATCAATTTTCATATAGAAGTTCATAGCCATAACGCTCTGACTAGCATAATTGTTTAAAGAGAATAAAATGCTTTGACATTTGAGGAATTTGAAATCAACAACAAAATGGACTTTTCCACTTTGGAGTCCCAAAAGATGAGGTTTCGGTATCTTGAATATATGGATTTGGCAACAGAGATTGACTAAAACTTCAATTGATCATCTCTTCTGTATTATTCTGGATGACACTTGTAATGAAAACCTAGTTCAATTATTTTACTCCTTAAAAATGCAAAAGAAACAGAAAATGGTTGAACTATCTAAAGCATTACGATAGTTGCAGACCAACTTTAAGAATTGAAATTAAGCACTCCTTTATTTTGAAAGTATTAGCAAAGCTCTGATCTTTTTGTTTGAATAGTCTTAAATCGGCAATAATGCTTGCTGCTTGTTTGGGCAAAGCAATCTTAACATAGTTATGGAGACCCAAACTATCACAAAACATGTTATCCGTAGGTCTCTTCGCCGTGAACGTCTCCAATAAGTGGATGCCATACCAATACACACCACCTGATGTTCACACCTCATTTCCCATACCATACTCTGCAATTCATGCATTAAACAAAATAAGGGGTATGTTAGGGACTAAGATTTGCAGATATCGGTAAATACACCCAGTAATGGCAAAAATACTCCCAAATTCAGTAAACTGTATGACCTAACATGAAGGAGATAAAATAGAATAGTTTTAGTTTTAGAACCCATCCATCCATCCATTGTACTGAATGTGAGAGTAATACACTGGAAACAATCAGCAAAAAAATTATTATAGTGCATTGTAAGGAACAAAAGCAAAAAACCATCAACTCTGCTTCATTGATTAATAGAGCAGATTCATGGCTGTGTGAATAAAAAATAGGTTCTATAGTGAAGGCACAAAGGAAAACAAAGAAGAGCCTAAGAGTTATATTTTCCAGGAGCTGCATAACCGACAGAACCTCTTATGCCAACAGAACTTGATTGATTTGCCGAACGGTCATAGATGGCTCCTGGAATGAATCTTGCTAACCCAAAGTCACCTACGTGTGCAGTCATTTCATTGTCCAGAAGAACATTGCTCGGCTTGAGATCACAATGAACGATTGGGTTCTGAGCAATGATTGTGAAGATAATCAAGTGCAGAAACAACATCAATGGCAATATTTAACCTCCGTACAAGGTCTAAATTCCTTGATTATTTATGCGCCTTATCTTCATTCTCATTTGCATGTAACCAATCCTCTAGGCTACCATTAGCCATAAACTCATAAACAAGAGCTTTGAAATCGTTACCATGATAGTCAGCACTTGAACATGCTGTGAGAACCTTGAGAAGATTTCGATATTTTATGTGCCTCAAGGTCTCACACTCGGTGAAGAAACTCTTGCAAGCTCCAAGGCGTTGAAGGTTTAGTACTTTCACTACTACAACTTTTTCACCTTCACCAAGAACTCCTTTGTACACATAACCAAAACTACCCACACAGACCAAATTGGATAGAGAAAACCCATCAGTAGCTTTACGTAGACTTTGGTATGACAATTTAAAAAATGAGAGCCCTAAATATTTGAAAGAAGGTACTGTGTTAGTCTTTCTACACCAGAAAGGATATAGGAAACTTATTAGAATTAGTCTTAGAAGCCCAAAAGATATGAGGATTATTAATTTCAAGCTTCGAGTAAATTTTTCCCTTTGGAACCCCTTGAAGTCGCAACTGTATAGCTGTAATTCAGGTATACCCCCACAAAGCTTGTAGTTTCCCTTAACAGAAATAGATGTCACGTTCTGAAATATGCCACTTTCTGGTACCGCACCCTCAAAATCATTGAATGATAGACCTAATTTTTGTAAGAAGGGAAAGTCCTCTAAATAGTCTGGGATTTTTCCAAAGAAATTATTGTGAGAAAGATCTAACTCCTCCGTACCTCTCAAATTACTTGAAGATGAAGGAAGGATTCCCCATAATTTGTTGCTCTCTATATGTAGTAATCTCAATTTTAAGCAACTACCAAGAGTGCTTGGAATTTCACCGGGCAACATGTTCTCACAAACATCAAGTTCTTCTAGATTTTTTTAAATTCCAATTTCCATTGGAAGGGAATCAGCCAAATCATTACGAGATATGTGTAGATACAATGACGATAAGAGACTGAGAACTTCACTGGGTATGGTACCACCAAGATTGTTTTGAACTAGTCTTAGTTCCTGTAACATTTGGCATTTCCCAAGACTTCAAGGGATTCTGCCATGAAGATTATTGTTGCATAACATAAGATTTGTCAACACAGTTAAATTTCCAAAAGACAATGGGATATCCCCGTAGATCATATTACCTGAGAGATCCCAATTCTGTAGCTTTTGAAACTTTCCAATATCAGCAAGAATGTTACCTGTGAAATTGTTGTTTGACAAGTCAAGAATCTGCAAATTGATCAGATTTCTTATCCCGGTTGGGATGATCCCAACTATTCCATTGTTGCTCAATATTAGTTTACCAAGATTAGTGGATAAATTGCCAATTGATTCATGCAACAATCCTCCAAAATTGTTTTTGCTCAGATCTAGAACGTTCAAATTTGTCACATTGGTCAAAGAATAGAGAAACCTCAAGTCATTGGCTTCCCCGGCTCCTAAACCATTTCCATGAAAGTTTAACAGCTGAAGATCATGCAGGTTGTCCAAAGGAGGAACTTTTCCAGTAAATTTATTACCGGCCAAGCCAAGGCGTTGTAGTTTAGTGGCATTAGACATTGAAACAGGAATGGATCTAGTAAATGAGTTTACACCAACTTCAAAGACACTAAGATTGGGAAGAGTAATTCCTAGGTCCCTGGGAAGGCTCCCTTGAATTTGGTTCATTACGACATTAAATTCTGTAGCAGACGAGAGATTAAAGATTGAGAAAGGAATGGTACCAACCAACCTGTTCATCCTCAACAGAAATACTTCCAAGTTTGTCAATCGACCCAGATCAACAGGTATGTCACCACCAATACTATTTTCTTCTGCAACAAATGATAGATTCCCAAAAGAATAAGGTACACTACCTGTTAGATTGTTTCTCCCAATGTACAGTCTCTTTAACTTAGAGAACCTAGCTCCACTGGAATTTTCCCTCCCAACCTATTGCCAGAAAATTCAAGAACAACTAAGACTATTGTTACTCAATGATAGTTCATTGAGAAAGCTTAGATTTCCAATGTGAGGTGAAATAGAGCCTGTTAATTTTTGATGATCCAAGTTCAACACAATGAGCCTCTGGTTAGAGCAGCCACATGTTACACCAAACCATTGACAGAAGTGGATTGATTCATTCCACGAGTTGAGAGCACCGAATGGATCACTTGTTATTTCAAACTTGAATGCAAGCAAGGCTAGCCGGTCAGTCTCATTCCCATGGCACTATTGAACCCATCTGGGTATTGGAAACAACAAATTGAGTTTGAAAGTCTATTGTGTTTTGCACTGTTTTAAAGAATTTTCAATCTGTTCTCTCACTTTGAAGATTGAATCAGAGCATCAAGTTTATTATTTAGAGTTCTTTCCACTTTGCCCTTAATTTTTGTTACTTTATTTATAGTGCTTATCCCCATCTGTTAAATATGCATAATCATTACAGCATGATTTAATCAAGTTTATTATTATGAGGAAGAACAGGAAACCAATCGCTTTGGTTCCAATTTTGTGAATTTAATTTTTTTTAAATTGATTTTTTGTTTTTGTATTTTTTTTTTTTGTTTTTAGTGAATTTTTAAAATAGTTTATGATATTTTTTTAGATACACTTAATATAAATACAATTAAAAAGTGTAATATTAAACATGAACATGACGAGTATTTGAGCCTTGAATGCAACATTGCTAGCCAATCTGTCTCATTCCCGGCTACATGAACATGACGAGTAGTAGAGCCTGAACCATCCAAACACACCATGAGAACAAAAACAACAACAACA